TATAAATTGTTCCAGAAAAATCTTATAAGATTTATTATATATTTCTCACTTTACTCGATACGATTTAATAACAATTTTTTTGCAGATTAAAAATCGTAATAATAGTTTTAAAAAATGATTTTCTGAGATTGTTATAGATTCCACGTTATTAAATAAAGGAAATCGAAATGACCAGATAACACGTGTTAATTTAATTTATGTGGGTGTTGTATGATTAAGATTTCAGTGGGTATACAACAAAACAATAAAATTTGGAGAGTACAAACATTATTCATCTCGTAACTGCGTTCAGTCCAAAATATGTGCAATATTGAATTTCACTATAATTGTATAGAATTAATTTTAATATACCAATATTTAAAAAAATGGTTTTTAAAACCTTACATCGTTTAAATAAGGGTATTACTCGAGTTGTGACTACATGTTAAAAACGTCGAAAAAATCCGCTGAATTTTGTAAAAATGAAAATGAAAATGTGGTAAAAAAAAAAAAAAAAAAAAAACAACTAATCGTACAAAAACCCATAGAGAAATCTCCCTTATCAAAATCAAGTGCTAAAACACAGCCGGTAGGTGCTGCAACCTACGGGCTCTCACCGCTACTCTATCCCCTCATCGGCACTACATCGGTATCACTCTCCATTCGATTCCACGCCAAAGCTCTCTCTGCATACGTTGGCCATCTCACATCAAACAACTCTCCGATCATCAATAATTCAGTTTTATCGAACCGCAGTCCCTAACCAGTAAAAATTACCCTCTCATCCGGGGACGTAATTGTGAAAAAACCCCGACTCACACGCGTGCAACCCAACACACATCGCTCGCGGTTTATCCTTCGGGGGAAAAATCAATAATATCATCAGCGTGTGTGCACGAGAAAAAACAATGTCTCAAGCTCGTGTCCCGAGGAAGGGAAGGTGGCTTCGATCAGCTGAGACGTATCGTACATACACAGGCAACATGTATAGGCTCGTGCATATTGTATTACGGAAGCGAGAGCATCAATCGCATACACACACATGTAATTATGGAGGGACACGGGACGACAGATGGTCTTCCTTAACAGCGATGATGGGCGACCTTTGGCGTCACGCAAGCGCGAAAATTGCAAGCATCCTTGTACTCGCCACGTTAACCGAGCTGCGAAATTAGCGACTGGTTGACGATTAAATGACATTGCGCTCGCTTCGTGTGGTGCGCGAGCTGAGAGCGACTTGATACGTAAAGGAAGAAAACAAGGGGAGCACAGCAGTGGCCCCTCCTTCGTTTCTTCTATATTTAGCCTTTGTCACTACCAAAGCAGATGAGTTGAAACAAATTAAAAAGGGGGCACGGGGAGAAACAAAATTAAAGTGCGAGATACTCAGGCAGGAGTAGTAAGCTTAAACTAGTGGCACATTTAAAATATAGGTGTGATGATTTGAGGACTCACCATCGTGACGGTGGTGATGTACCTTGTACCGCTGGCTGGACGGGAAATATATGTATTTTTTTTTTTAAATTATTAATAATATTACATTTTAATTCAACTTATAGTAAAGTAAGAGATATATGATAGAGACGTGATCAAAGAGAAAGAGAGAGAGACACTTTTTTAATCAAAAACCAAAAAAAAAAGTTAAAAAAAAAAAAAGGTGCCCACCGTCTCCACGACGAGGAAGTGCTTTCGTAGACGGAAGCAACAACACCAAAGCTAGCCGGCTCCTAAAATGCGGCAGACTGCGCCGCTGTCGCTATTACTGCTGCGTTCGCTGTGCTGCTAGTGCGACGGCGCCGTCTTCTGCAGCCGCGCTGGAAAAAGTACGTGCTCGTGTATTGGAGTGGGAGTGTGGGTGGCTACGCGAGCGCCAGTCTGGGTATCAATGTTTTATCGACTTCGAGCTATCTCAAAAGCAAAGGTTTTCTTACAGTTACATCTGAAACAAGTCGAAGATTTTGCGTACATTTTTATAAAAAAAAAAAAAAAAAAAAAATTTTCAACTGGTTGAATTGGGCAGTTGGTGAGCCATTAAAATTTAATCTTACTGTTGTGGAAGAAAAACATTACTCCTCTAAAGACGAGGCATGGAATTAAACGATTTCTTAATGTTTGTTTTAATTCTGAATGTACAAAAATTGCTTTGGAAAAATGAATAAAAATAATGAAAAAAAATTGTATTGTGTTCTGCAACAACTACGGTATTGGAATTTCATTTATTTTGGGGGAGGGGCTGTGGAGGAGGTGTTAGGCTGCTTTTGGAAGACTTAAACTTTTCTCAGCAGTATAGCTGAAAATTTTCATAAATTAGGTAATACACTACTATATCCTG